GGGCACTTGGGTGTCAGTAGAACATCTACACCAGCGGCCCCTAGTGGAGGCAGAGGCCCACAGCCAGCCGCACAGGGCCTGGTGCTGCCCCTGCCCTGACCCTTGTGCAGTGAGAGGTGAGGAAGGGCCTCCAGTGCTGGCTCAGTCCTCGGTCGTGATCTGTCCACGATTGGAGGGAGTCTCATGTGAAGCTCTGTTCTTAGCCACACGCCCTTCCCTGGCTGGGTCCCTGAAGGCCAGTGGGGTTGGGGCTGGGACTGTGTCTGTTGTTTGGGTAAGACCTGGGTGATGCGGGCTAACTTGGTGGCCCTGTGTCCTTGTAGGTGGTAACATGGACCTGGAAAGCCAAGCTGAGGGGAAGAAGGAGGTGGAAGCTGATGATGTGATGAGGAGTGGCCCGCGACCCATCGTCCCATACAGCTCCATGTTCTGTTTAAGCCCCACCAACCTGTGAGTCTCCTTCGCCTGCCCAGGCCATGTGCCTATCCCATGTCTGTGGCCGTGGTCCATGTGCACGGTAGCAGCGTAGGCTAGACGTGACCTGGCAGGCACTGATTCTGGGCACTTTAATGTCCTGATCATCACAGCAATCTGCAAGCACTCCCTACAGCTGAGGACACAGAGCCACGGGGAAGGTCCATGGCCTGTCCACGGACGCACAGCCAGTCAGCCCTAGTGGTAGAGCTGGGGTCTGAACCCAGTCAGCCCCAGAGCCACTACCCCCCACTGCAGCGACTGTTCATCGCCTCACGCACGCACCCAGTTTATGTCCCTCGTGTGTCCACCTTCCGTCATGCCCACTGTCCACGCTGCATGCATCTGTATACCACATTCACTCATGTGTCTGCCCATTTTCTCCCCTCTGTTCATCATGAAGTCACCAGCATTTCTCATCCACGCATCAGTCCATCTACTGCACTGGGTCACCCAGTACTTACATACTAACAGCGTTTTAGGTGCTGGGAATACAGAGTAAGGAGCAGAACAAACAAGGACCCCTGTCCTTGATAAGCTTCTGGGCAAGTAGGAGAGACAGACAGCAAAGCAGACAAATAAGTAAGGGGCCTAAGACATCACATGGTGGGAAGTACTAAGAGGGAGCACAAAGCTGCCAGGGGTGCGGATGTTAGGGTGGGAAGGGCAGGTTGGGTGTCAGTGGGAGGTGAGATTGGTGAGGAAGGGGAGGGAGACCATCCCTGGCAGTGGCAACAGATAGAGCAAAGTGTGTGGATCGAGGCCAGTGTGGTAGAGCAGGGGGGCCAGAGGGCAGCAAGATCCGACGGAGTCAGGCTGTGCCCTGCGTCCCCGTCCCTCCAAGCCTGCAGTCTCTCTACCCAGCCTCCACTCCCTCCCTCTCTTCACGCTTTCACTCAGCACACATTTCCTGGGAGCTTACTCTGCTCCGCTAGGGAGTGTGGCCCTTGCCTGTGAGCACTGACGTGTGAAGGAGGGAGCAGAGAGGTTGTAGGCAGCTGGGGGTCAGTGGGGACACTGTCAGGCCGTACTTCAGCAGAGTCCTTGCACAGGGCTTAGTAGGTGGTCATGGTTTTCAGGAAGAGATGGTCGAGGTCTGATGATGGTGGTCATGTGGGGAGGTTTGGGAGTGAAATGCTTGGGAAGACATTTTGGAGAGAATCTAGGGAACTTGATAAATTAGGTGTGGAAGGGGAAGGAGATGTCAGGGATGACACCCAGAGTTTCTGCATGACAGCTGGGGCCCCGCTGAGCTGGGGGCAGGCGAGTGCAGACCCTGCAGAGCAGGGACAGCTAGTGGATGTCTCATGGCCAGGTGGACTCACCTGGCTAGGGGTAGAGCTGAGGGTAGATGCTCAGTCCTGAGATGCAGAAGGAAAGACGCAGAGACGGAGTGTCCTGGAGGAAGGAGGAGAGCTGTGTCTGTACAGAGGAAAGCGTGCCAGGAGCTCACCAGGGGCCTGGGAAGGGTGGCTCTGGTTGGCATGGAGGCCGGAGTATGGCAGTGGTCATGGCGAAGAGGAGAGCATAGTAGTCCCTTCAAGGCAGAGAGAGAGGTGGGTGGGTGTGGCTGGGAGGTGGAAGGTCCCTTCAGACCTAAGACCCTAAGAGTAGAGCAGTGGTGGTGAGAGAGGCGCGGGTCGCAGAGGTGAGACGCGGGTCTGTCCCCGTGCCGCCTGTGTGCTGGTTCTGTGGCTGCCCCTCCTCGTCACCTGGGACCAGCTTCACCGCCCCCCCGAGGGTTCTTCGCAGACCTCCTGGTCCCTGCTGCTGTCCTGGAGCATTTGTGAGCATCTGAGGGCCTCCTGTTGGTGTATGTCCACACTGTTTTCTGGTGCCCTGTCCACCACTGGGCCCCGGTGTCCGACAGGTGCACGAACAGAACAGAATAGTGGTCAGTAATGCTGCCTGGTGCTGCAGGGAGGCAGGTGACACACGCAGCTCTCGGGACTCAGACGAGCTGGGCCAGCACAGACCCAGAGAAGTTTCCTGAGCTCTCCAGAGAGGCCTGCTGTCCACAGGAGTGCTGGCGTTCAGCCTTGTCCTCTCTGAGCAGCCCTCCCGGGACCCCCTCCCCCCCACCTACAGCCTTTGTAAATCTGCAGAGGGCACCGCCGTCCACACACACAGGAGGTGACTATGTGGGCTGACCCCTGCGGTGGGTTTCTGCAGCCTTCCCACCCCTCTTACTGGGACACCCGCTCAAGAATCTGAGGCACCATTGGTCACCTGGCCGCTGTCTCCCAACCACAGGGACACTCAGTAGAACTTGGTTCTGGTGTGACGCCTTCCGCAGGGAGAGGCCAGGCATGCGCTCCGGTGGGGGGTCCAGCCCAGCTCATCGGTGGGCCTCGGGCGATCTGTGCTTTGCCCTGCAGGCTCCGCCGCTTCTGCCATTATATCGTGACCATGCGGTACTTTGAGATGGTCATTCTCGTGGTCATCGCCCTGAGCAGCATTGCCCTGGCTGCCGAGGATCCAGTGCGGACAGACTCGCCCAGGAATAACGTGAGCACGGCCCTCAGGTGGTGGAGGGGCTGGGCATTGCCAGGGTCCTGTCTGCTCCCTCTGGAGGTGTGGGATGTGGGGATGAAGGTCTGCGGGTGCCTCCTGGCCCAGCCCTGAGTTGCAGATGAAGAGTGGGCATGTGCCTGGGGCCAGGGCCGCTGCCGGGGCCTGTGGGGGGCTAGGGCTTGGCCCACAGGCACACTTGCCAAGGGGTTGTCTGTTCAGAGGCCCGGAGGAAAAGCATGATGCTGCTGAAATTGTCCAGGCTCAAGCTGTCGGCCCAGCCTTTGACAGTAACCTTCCTGTTGGTTCTAGGCTCTGAAGTACATGGACTACATTTTCACAGGCGTCTTCACCTTTGAGATGGTGATCAAGGTGAGATACGTGGTTGCCCCGGTGGCCCAGTGCTCCACTCATCCTCCATGACTGACACGGGCCGGGACCTGTAGCCTCTGATGAGGGCATGTGGTGGGTGTGCCCTGGGTGTGTGCTCAGTGAGAGAATGCGTGCACACGAGTGTGCTGATGTGTGTTGCGGAGGGCAGAGGCCAATTCACCAGAGATTCACCACAGTGTTACACCGGCTTTGGGAGAGCACCCCAGTGCCGTTCCTGCCTCCGCCATCCTGCTAACCAAGGGTTACAGGCTTCCGGGAATGTGCACGTGTGGGCTCAGCCCACCCTCAGGATTGTCTCGTGATGTCAAGCTGGGAAGAGCGAGGGCCCCAGCACCCAAACATCATGGCGCGTGGGCGCTGAAGACTTCAGTTTCAAAGAGCTGTAGTGCTTCATGTTAGGCTACAGACCATTTCATCGCGGTCGCTCTGTCTCTGAGGACTGACGGGCACTGCTCCTTTATCACTGACAAGTGGCCGTGTGCGTGTGCGCACACACGTGTGCCATCTTTGACTACAGGGCAGCTTAGGATGTGCCCGTGGCCTGGTGACTTCCGTGTGTGCACGTGCGTCTGTCTATCACCTCTGCTTCTTCACTTCCTCTTGCAAACTCATGGGAGCGGTTTTTTTTTTTTTTTTTTGGTCATCCCATTTTATAGACATGGAAGCTGAGGCTTGGAGACATTAAGGTACTTGCCAGAAATCACAGCTTTAGGGATGGCAGAGCCAGGTCCTTGTGAACCCCACCAGCTTTTCCTCCTGCTTCAGAGAGCTGACCCTCTGAGGGTCTGGGCAGGGCGTGGGCTTCCTGGCGTGGTGTATGCTTGCAGCCCAGCAAGGGGGGGGCGGTTCTCCAGGGGATTTGGGAGCCCAGACAAGATCTCAGCCAGTCATGACCATGTAGGGATATTTGGATCAATGGCATTGAGGTTTGAAGGCCCACTGAGGCCCTCAGAGGACATGATCTGAATGGCATCCTTCCCCCCAACCCCATGAGTCTGGGGCCTGGCCCTGCTTTTCTTTCTGAAATAGTCAGCATCTAATATGTGTTTCTCCCCTGAAGATGATTGATTTGGGACTGCTCCTACACCCTGGGGCCTACTTCCGGGACTTATGGAATATTCTGGACTTCATCGTGGTCAGTGGGGCCCTGGTGGCATTTGCCTTCTCGTAAGTACCATGTCTGCTCTGGGTCTGACTGGGCTGCAGTCCCAGAGCTGTGGTGGGTGTGGGGGTAAGGGAAGGAGGGGGCCCCACTGGCCTCCATGGGCTGTCTACTTGGGGCTGGGCTGTATGGGGTTGAGAGCATCTCAAGGCCCACTTGTCCCTGCCACGGCTTGTGGTTCTGACACTGGGTGAGCAGGCCTCTGGTTTGTTTGGTGCCTGCCTATTGGGTCTTTCAGAACAACTTACCTGCCCTGATCTCGGCTGCACCGCTTGGTCAGCCAGAGCTGGTGGCTATCTTCCCCTGTCGGAGTATTAGACCTTTGGTTTCTCTGACTCCCTAGGGGACGAAACTCAGCTCCCTTGTGGCTGGGCCTGGATTGACTCCCTCAGACCCTGCATGGTGGTGGGCCTGGGACAGGTGTGGGGGGCTTGGGTGGAGCTACGGAGGAGACCCAGAGATCAGGAAGATCCGAGGGACGTGTCTGCATCTTCTCTGAGCACTCGGGGAGGGCAAGGCCTCCTCACTGACTCTCTTCTCTTTGTCTCTTTGTTGCTGGACTCTCGGTAGGAGCTTCATGGGGTAATGCCTTCCCTCTGCCCCTCACACTGCCCCACATCATAGCCCAGCATGGCCCCTCCTGGGCCGTTCACCAGCACGACTCACCTCCGCTCATCCTCCTCCACTCTCCAGAGTGCATGCTGCCAGGAGCCATGTCCCCAGGCCATGCGTTGCTGCCTCACCTCTGGGGGCTGGGTTGGGGGCTGGGTCTGGGGAGGTGCCCCAAGTGAGTGCTGGAGGCCAGGAATTTGGGCCCTGAGGGCAGTGAGGGCTCTTGGTGGGGGCTGCTGTAACCATGACTGCCAGGATGTTGGTACCTTCCTGAGGTACCTTCCCATGTCTCTTCTCCGGCAAAGAGGCTCTCTTCCTTCTCTCTGTTCTCTGCAACTGCCTCCCTGCAATGCCCAGCATATTCTCTGGGGGTCTTAACCAGTTTTCTTTGTATATAAAGTGTCAGTCAGGGGCTTAAGAGTAAGACAGGGGAAGGGGTACAGTCCAGCCAGGTGACCTCAGAGCAGGAGAAAGGCACTGAGCTGGCAAGCGAGAAATGAGGCCTCTAGACACAGAACACAGACCACCTTGAGGCCTGTCCCTGCAGAGAGCCCTCCCCTGCAAAACCAAAGCAGTGTCCCTCCCTTCTGCATCCCTCAGGTGTCTGCCTGCCCACCCTGCCCCCTCTTCTCTCTGTACTGGTCTCAACAGGGCTGCTGGAAGAACCTGGTTTGGGGGCAGGTGTCCACAATGCTGGGGTGATAGAAACACCTGACACGGTGGTCTGGAGGCTGGGTGTTTCAGAGGGAGTTTGATCTGGTTCTGGAATGTAGGCCCTGGCTGGGTCTTGGGGCAGATATAAGGGACTGGGGCTCCCCAGCTCTCCTTAACCCACAGATCCTACCTGGACCTCACAGCTCACTTTCCCTAGAGCTGAGCAGCAGCCCAAAGAAGACCACTGGAGGCCCTGTCCCCTCTCCCCATGCACAGGCTCCTTGGGAACTTGGAGGGAGGTGACCTCTGAGCAGGATGGAATAGGATCCCCAGTCCTGAGTCCTCAGCCACTGCTGAGGGTGGGGTGTGGCCTTGCTTCTAAGAATTGCCTCCTTAGGCAGTCTATGAAGGTCAATCAGGGGACCACCCCTCACCCCCGATATCTGCCCTGGCTTTGGGTTGGTGAGAAGGCCAGCCCCCAGAGTCTGACAACAGCTGGGCCCCTGGCAGCCTGAGGGAGCCACCTGGGTCTGCTCGGGCGTCTTCCTTTGTGAGGGACCCGATCTGGGCCCACTGGTCCTGGATCTCCAAGCTTGCGTCTGGTGCTTAGAATTTTCTTTTCCTGACTCCCTGTCTTACTCCCCCAGTCTGGGTTTTCTTGTCTGCTGCTCTCTTTGTCTCTCTGTGGGCTCTTACCCCTCCCCTCCCCTCCCTCCCTCCCTGTCTGTTTCTTTCTCTTTCCTTTGCTATTTCTTTCTTTCTTCCTCTGTCCACCCCTTGCATTGCATTGCCCCTTATATTACCTCGGTATTCATCTAACTTTTTCTCTTTCTTACTCTGCTTCACTCTTTCCCTTCCTTCACGCCTACCACCCCTCTCCTCCTCTCCCTCTCAGTCAGTGTTACATCATCTGGAGGAGTGTAGGAGCAGTTGAGAAAGGACAGGCAGGGAGATCCTGACATGTTCCCCTTACCCTCCCTCTACCAGGACTGAAAAGCAAAGAAGCCAGCCCTCCCAGAAGGCTCTTGCTCGAATGGCTTGTAGGTTTCCAGGTGCTGGCCCTGAGCTAGGTCTGCATTCCTGGGGCCAGCCCCCTTCTCTCCTCTTTATTCCCATTGTTGGTCTCAACATGGTGGCCAGATGACACTGGTTTGGGGTGGGTGTTAGGGGACCACTAGCATAGAAATGGCTGATGTGGTCTGTGAGAATGGGTTCTTCCCACCTGGAAGCCCAGCTTTCCCTGTACACCAGGTGCTCTTGACCTGGTCCTGGCCTTTGTCTGCTCAGATGAGGCCTTTGTCATGCAAAACCCACAGGAGGAGGTGCCGTGGCCTGTGGTGCTTGCAGGGCAGAGGCCTCCCTGTTCCTAGGTATTCCGCCCTGGGGCCTAAGACAAAATGCACAGGGGAGTGCAACCCAGTAGGCTTTGTGGGAACTGGGCATGGGTGTGCATCCTGCCTGTCTGCATGTGTGACTTCTCCCTTCTAGAGGATCCAAAGGGAAAGACATCAATACCATCAAGTCCCTGAGAGTCTTGCGTGTCCTGCGGCCCCTCAAGACCATAAAACGGCTGCCTAAGCTCAAGGTGAGAGCCTGGAGTTGGGGCTCGAGCAATGTGCAGGCTGTGCATGTACATGTGAGTGTAGGCCTGTGTGTGCATGTATGTGTGCTGTGCATGTGTATGTGTGTAGATATGCGTGTGTGCATGTCTGTGCACGTGTGTGGGTGCATGTGTGCGTGAATGTGGATGTGTGCTGTGTCTTGTGAGTGCACATGTGTCCATGTAACTAACCCTGTCTGGCTGCATCTTCCCACGTGGGATGGGATGAGTAGAGCTGAGGGAGGACCCGCGCTTGTTTTCTCAGATCACACATTGTGCAAGTGGGTCCAGCTCCCTCAGTTCCATGACTCTCCCCAAAGGGGAGCTTACTCTCCGTAGTGCTCTGGAAGGTTCTTCCTTGACCCAGCAGCACCAACAGCTGTTATACAGGGAAGGAGCAGCTGCCGAGGGGTGCCTGGGCGGTTAAACTTCCAACTCTTGAATTTGGCTCAGGTCATGATCTCACAGTTGTGAGGTCGAGCCCTGCGTCAGGGTCCGTGCTCAGTGGAGAGTCTGCTTGGGATTCTTTCTCCCCCTCTGCCCTTCTCCTCTCTCTCTCTTAAATTAAATTAAATTAAATTAAATTTTAAAAAAGAAAGAAGGGGCTTCTGAGAGACGCAGAGGGTCCTGAGGGAGATGCAGGGAGGGCAGGGGGTCCTGAGAAGTGGTTCCTGGGCTGGGCCTGAGGTTCTGGATGAGGTGTGGCTGAGGTTCTGGATAAAGGAAAGAGTGTGAACCCAAACCCTTGGAGTTGTGCTAAAATATGATAATTTACTGAGTGTGTTCCTCACTGTGAGGAATGCTTTGGATGCTTAAACTCGTTTAATCCCACAAAATTGTGCAGTAAAGTATTGTGAACAGCATGCAGAAGCAAGCCTTGCAGACACGAAGCAGTGTGGGGATTACAGAAGGCAGTTTGCTTGTGAAGGGGTGGGCTGGGGGTGGCTTGAAGGCAGCCACAGGCCCTCTGTGTCAGGTGGGGACTTGGACCTGGGCCGGCAGGTTAGGGGTGTCATGGACACTGGGCACGTGTGCAGAGGCTGCATTTGCTGAGGAAGCTGCTGGTGTCTGAGTGTGCCAGGCAGAGTCTCAGGAGATGGTTGTGGACAGCCAGAGCAGGATGGGGGATCTCCTCAGCTCCGAGAGACAGGGACCAGGGCCAGGGTCAGCAGTCCAGGGTCAGCCAGGGAGTTCAGGGCAAGCTGAGCTTCCAGGTAGGGAAGATCCTGAGAAGAAGCCCAGGTGGTGGTGCTAACAGACGACAGAGTCACCTCTGGGCCACACCAAAACCTGCCACAAGTCCCTGTCTTGGAGCTGGCCACGGCATCGCTGCCTTCCCGCCCCATATTGGTTCCCACTGATGGGCAGGGGCAAAGTGTGACCCACTGGCAGGCCCAGATGCAGGAGCAGAGGGCTGGCCATATCCCCATTCCCACTCCTTTCCCTCCATGTCAGCCCCTCCTGACACTGGTGGACCTGGGCACCAAGTTGTCCTCACTAGCTGGCCTGTCCCGTAAGCGTCCCGTCAGTGTCCAGCCCATCTGCCCATGCCACCCCTTCTAGCACCTCCTGCCCACTCTTCAAGTCCTGGGAGAGGCAGCGGCAGGTGGCTTCCTGTGTTAAGGTGACGGGAAGCAGGTCCCTCTGTGATTATGGGCCTGAGGGCCCTGAGGTTCTGAGCAGAGCCCTCCTCCCCTCCAGGCTGTGTTTGACTGTGTGGTGAACTCGCTGAAGAATGTCCTCAACATCCTGGTCGTCTACATGCTCTTCATGTTCATATTTGCTGTCATTGCGGTGCAGCTCTTCAAAGGGAAGTTTTTCTACTGCACGGATGAGTCTAAGGGGCTGGAGAGGGACTGCCGGTAAGCTGAGGCAGGGCCGGGGGTGGGGAGCCCTGTGAGGGCGAGGGCGAGGGGCCTGCGTGGGGTGTACCAGAGAGCTGGGGGTGTGCCTCTGTCCCCAAGGCCACACCAAGGACCTTTGGCTCATTTTCCTCAGCAGAGTCAGGGACCAGCCACTTCTGAGGAAATGTTCTTCCTGCCCATAGACATCGGGGAACACATGGGGGCCACTGGGTATTGCTGAAGGGCTCTAGGCAGCTAGGCTCTAGGGTCAAGGGGCTGCCCTTTCTGGACCTGGCCCCACCCCGGAGGAAACAGGAGAGGTGACCTGGGTGGGGGGGAGGGGAACTAGGGGAAATGAAGGTAGGTACTGGTGTGGATGCTGAGCAAGGCAGTGCGGCCAGCCCCTTCTCCACCCATAGGCAATGGTCCCAGTTGCCTCTGTTCATGCAGTGGTCTCTTGTGGGAGTATGTTGCCACATACTTACCCTCTGTGCCTGGTGGACATCAGGGGTGTTTCCAGTCGGAAGCTCTCGTGACTTGTCCAGTGCACGTTTACTGGGAGCACACATACACACGTGTGCAAACCTCGCAGTTGGGTTGCAGGGTTGTGCACTGTGCTTATGTTCAGCTTCTGCAGGTGCTGCCAAATATGTGTGTAAAATCACGCTCTTGCACACGGATGAGAGCTCCAGTACTCCACAGCACGGGCAAACTTGTGTTTTCTGTCTGACATTGGGCTGGTGGCATTTCTCTGTGCTGTGATTTGCACCGTGTGGTAACCAGTGGTGTTGGGCACCTCCCCAGGTGATCGACCGCTCAGCTGTCCCTGGGAAGGGTCTGTGCAAGCCTTTGCCTGTGTCCCTGTATGGGTTGTCTTTCTCTTTCTGATTGATTTGTAGGGATTTTGTAAGGTCCTGGATAGTCATCCTTTGTCAGACCTATGGATTGTGGTTGTCTTCTCCTCCTTTGTGGGGTGCTTTCAACTTTTTAAAACATGTCTTTTAAAAAACAAAGTCTTGATTGTAGTATAGTCCCATTTATCTCTGCTATATTTAGTACTCTTTGTGTCCTGTTCAGAAAACCTATCTGAAGGTCAGGGAGAAGTCCTCTTATGTTTTCCTCTAAAAGTTTTATTTTTACCTTTCACATTTAGATCTGGGATCTATCTGCGGTTGATTTTTGTGTGTTAGGTGAGGTATGGATAAAGATAAATTTTCTGTAGATGGATATCCAGTTGACCCAGCACCATTTATTTGAAAAGACCCATCCTGTCCCCCATTTAGTGGTAGCCTTTGTTTTCACTAAGATATAATTCATGTGATTCATCCATTGAAAGTGTACAATTCAGTGATTTTTTAATACATTCACAGATATGTGCAATCATCACCACAGTCAATTTTAGAACATTTTCATAAGTTAAAAAACATAAAAAACTGCATATCCTTTATTACCCACTAGCTCCCCATCTCTAGCCCTGAGCACCCACGAATCTATTTTTTTGTCTTTATAGATTTCCCTGTTCATATAAAGGGAATCGTAAATATGTGGTCTTTTGTGTCTAACTTCTTTCATTCGCCTTCATGTTTTTAAGGTCACCGTGCTGTAGCATGTGTCAGAGCATCATTCCCTTTCATGGTTGGATGTTCTTCCCTGCTGTAGATGGGGCAGTTTCTTTATTCACCCATCTGTTGGTGGGCATCTGGGTTGTTTCCATTTTTGGCTGTTTTAACTGATGCTGCTGTGAACACGCATGTGAAGTATTTGTGTGGACAGATGTCTTCATTTCTCTGAGTGTATACCTAGCCCTGGAATTGATGGGTCCTGTGGTGATTCTGTTTACCAGTGTCAGGGACTGCCAGACTTTTCCAACATGGCTGATCCATTTTATATTCCCACCAGCAGTGTGGGAGAGTTCTGATTTCTCCACATCCTTGCCAGTACTTGTTATTTTCCTTTTTAAAAATTAATTATAGCCATCCTAGTGGGTATAAAGTGATATCTCATTGTGGTTTTCATTTGTATTTCTTGGATGACTCATGATGTTGAGCATCTTTTCATGTACTTATTGGCCATTTGTACATCTTCTTTGGAGAAATGCCTATTCAGATGTTTTATCCATTTTTATTAATTGGGGTGTTTGTCTTTTTTATAATTGGTTATAATAGTTCTTTATATATTCTAGATTCAACTCTTATCAGAGAGACGATTTTCCAGTATTTGGGCCATTCTGTGTGTTGATGATGTCTCTGAAGCACAAAGCTTTACATTTTGATGACGTCGAATTGACCTACTTTTTTCTTTTGCTGCTCATGATTTTGGTGTCGTATCTAACAATCCTTTCCCTAATTCCAGGCCTCCTGTGTCTTCTTCTAACAGCTTTCTAGTGTTAGCTTGTACCTTTAGGTCTTTGGTCCATTTTGAGTTGAGTTTTGTACATGGCATGAGGTAGGGTCCGGCTTCCTTCTTTTGCAAGTGGACGCCCAGTTGTCCCACTCTGTTGAGAAGACTGTTCTTCCTTCATTGGATGGACAGCCCTTTCAAAAATCAGTTGACCATAGACAAATCAGCGTGTTTGGACCCTTTGTCTCTAACCTCTGACCTCATCTATGTTCTCATCCCCAGGGGTCAGTATTTGGATTATGAGAAGGAGGAGGTGGAAGCTCAGCCCCGGCAGTGGAAGAAATACGACTTTCACTACGACAATGTGCTCTGGGCTCTGCTGACACTGTTCACAGTGTCCACAGGAGAAGGGTGGCCCATGTGAGTGCTCACTGGCTCATTGTGGCAGATCACGCTAGAGCAGAGGGGCAGCTTGGGCAGGGAGTTTCAAACTCTGCATCCGTTTGTGTTCTAGTCATCCAGCAAATACACCATAGGCTCTTGCACCCACCAGGTAAGACATGGCTCTGCCTTCCAGGAGCGGGCAACCTGGAAAGAGGACGAGATTAAGACAAAGTACACAGCATAGTGATCTCCTGAAAATCGTTTTTGAGTGGCTGAAGGCCAGAGGGAGGATGGGGCTATTTGGTATCTCCCTGTGCTACCCTTCTGGCCTCAGTTAAGGGTAGACAGAGGGATGTATTTGTTCAGTGCCACACTGGATGACTGGGGACTTCCTTTGGGGCTGGGAGGACCACCGCTCAGAAGGTAGGATCAATGCTGTGCCAGGAGCCCAGGGTTTTCTTTTTTTTTTTTTTTAAAGATTTTATTTATTTATTTGAGACAGAGAGAATGAGAGAGAGAGAGCACATGAAAGCGGGGAGGGTCAGAGGGAGAAGCAGGCTCCCTGCCGAGCAGGGAGCCCGATGTGGGACTCGATCCAGGGACTCCAGGATCATGACCTGAGCCGAAGGCAGTCGCTTAACCAACTGAGCCACCCAGGCGCCCCGGAGCCCAGGGTTTTCTAAAGGCAGGTGAAGCTGGGTATGAGCTGGTGAACTGGGCATGAGCAGGTGTGAGCTAGGAGTAAGCAGGGCAGGGCAGAACTCCTGGGCCTCCACCTGTCCTGGGGTTAGGACCTCCGGTCCCTGGAGACCTCCCCTTGATGGCCCTCCAACAGCCCTGAGTACAAGCCCTATCGGGAAGGTAGTCTACCTCAGGAGACTGCGGTCCTAGGGAGCGGGCTGAGGCCTGCAGTGTTGAGCATCCCCTTCCTCTTGCCATCTCTGGGCTCAGGTACGGAAGCCTCACCTGTGATACAGGTCTTGACTTTCCCATGGCTCTGTCCTCAGGGGCCCCCCTGACACTTGGTGTTTGCCCTTGGTGCAGGGTCCTGAAACACTCTGTGGACGCCACCTATGAGGAGCAAGGCCCAAGCCCCGGGTACCGCATGGAGCTGTCCATCTTCTACGTGGTCTACTTTGTGGTCTTCCCCTTCTTCTTCGTTAACATCTTTGTGGCCTTGATCATCATCACCTTCCAGGAGCAGGGGGACAAGGTGATGTCTGAATGCAGCCTGGAGAAGAACGAGGTGGGTGGCTCCCTCTTCTGCCCCATGTGCACGTGTGCATTGGATGCTCTGCTGGGCTCCCCTGATGGTCAGTGTGGGCAGAACCACTGGACTTCCCTTCTGCATGGTACTCGCTCACCACCGCATAGCTGGTGGCCAGCACAGGGGCAGGGAAAGGCTGTGTGTGGCTGGTCAGGGCTGCCTGCGAGGATGGAAGAGACGGGTGTGGGGTGCAGTGTGGGTTCCCCCCACCCCCATCATGTTCTCAGTGCTCCTTTGTCCCCGGGCAGAGGGCTTGCATCGACTTCGCCATTAGTGCCAAGCCCCTGACGCGGTACATGCCCCAGGACAAGCAGTCATTCCAGTACAAGACATGGACTTTTGTGGTCTCGCCTCCCTTCGAGTACTTCATCATGGCCATGATCGCCCTCAACACAGTGGTGCTAATGATGAAGGTATGTTGGCCCAGCACGGGGGACAGTGGGTGCCAGCTGGGGTGTGAGAGAGATGGAGAGAGAGAGAGCCATAGTTGCAGCTGATCACGTCCTGGTCAGCATGGGATGCCTATAGAAGCCCAGTGCCCTGGGTTCTCTGTGGGCTGAGATGGTGAGAGTGTCCTGGGAGAAAACGGGGGGAGCAGGGATGGGTATCCCTACCCTGGGCAGGCGTGCAGTTCTCTGTGCTCTGGCAGGAGGTCAAGGCTGGGGTGTCTTGGGGCAGCCGAACCTGTAGCCAATGGCACTTATTCCCCGTGCAGTTCTATGACGCACCGTATGAATATGAGCTAATGTTGAAATGCCTGAACATTGTGTTCACATCCATGTTCTCCATGGAATGCGTGCTGAAGATCATCGCTTTTGGGGTGCTGGTAGGTGCCTTGGCTCCCTCTTGGCCTTTTGGTGGTCTGCATTCTGGCTCCCTCTCTGTAGGGGGGATTTTCAGGGACTTGTAGCTTAGAGGTGGGAATTCCCCAAGCCCCCAGAGCAAATGTGACATTGTGGTGGCCCTGAGGAAGGGGGGCTGCCCCAATACCCTGAGCTGCCTGAGCTCTGCCCCTAGCCCAGCTCCTGGAGACAGGCGGGGCCAGGCTCCTCTTCTTTGGACACACAGCTCTCAGTTCTGCACCTGCCCAGACCCACAGGTGTTTGCTTACCCAGCTGTGGTGTCCCGCCTTGGTGGCCCATCTGTCCCTTTGCTCCTTTCTTGATTAGGGGTACTTCCTGCAACTCCTTGCCTGGCAGAACGCTTACCAGCCTCTAGCAGTAACTGCTCTTTTTTCTCTCCAGAACTATTTCAGAGATGCCTGGAATGTCTTTGACTTTGTCACTGTGTTGGGAAGTATTACTGATATTTTAGTAACAGAGATTGCGGTAAGTAGCATTTCCTCTCCTTCCTGCAGGGCCCCAGAATGGTTTCCTTCTGGGCAGTGCTCCTCAGTGCGCCTCCAGGTCCTGAGTGTTAGCCCCTTCTCTCTTGCCAGAGTTCCCCAGGAGCCCCTGGAAAGAAGGAGGCTCCTCTCCAGAGGTGGAGTTGGGGATTGGGTATTGTCTTGGGAAATACTTTTTCTTGGATAAGAAAGTGGTTTCCAAAAGGTCTTCTAGTCTGGTGGTCTGAGAGTCACCTAGGAGCTTCATTGTAACAACTGACCAGGAAGACAACAATCTTTTAAATCTGTGTGTGTCTAACAAATCTAACAACTTGGCACCAAAGTACATGAACTAAAACGAACAAGAATTTAGAATATTTTAGAATATTAGGTTTGTTTTACGTGTGTGTGTGTGTGTGTGTAAATAAAATGAGATACTCATTCATATCAAACATACACAGATTATATGTAAAAACTGACCAAGTGCTAAAATACGAAATTGTCTTGACAAATTTCAAGGAATCTGAATCATAAGGCAATGTTCTTTGAGTACAATGCATTATATCAGAATTAAATGGCAAAAAATCTCATCTCAGTCTTAAGTTGAATTTTCTAGGAGCAGACACTAAGGTGGGGTTCTTGTACAAGTCATTTCTTAGGAAGCACTCCCAGGCAAAACCATGAGAGAGAGGTTTGGGGAAGTGGATGGGTAAGAGAAGGAGGATCAGAAATGTATCTGGAGCCAAGTGTTGGGGTGCATTTGGGTCATCCCCGATGGGGGCTTGGAGACAGGGTGGTTACACCTCAGAGTTGCAGAGCTTATGCCTCTGTACTGATTAGTCCACAACTAAGGGCTGCACCTGGGGGTTTGAATTGTCAGATACCTCCAGCCCTTCTGAGTGCACCCCACGTGCAGGCAAAGCAGGCTCTGGCCACCATTGGGGAGGAAGGAATATCAGGCTCCTTGGTAACAGGACCGCACTGGAGTGCATGAGTGTCTGCTGTTACCCTGGCCCCACTCAGCTCTGCCCACATCTCACACTGGGTCCACTTCTCTCATTCTTCAGGAGGGTGCTGGTCACGATGTGTGGGAGAAGAGGATTGGTAACCAGTTAGAGCTAGTCTGAGTTAAGTTGATGTTCATTAACTTATTCTTCCTAACCCATTTTGGGGTCCCCTGACTGGTGGCCAGCCTTCTGCTGCTCTAGTTGCTGGGCGGGATGAGGCAGCCCACACTGTCACCCTGTGAAGCCCAAGCCCCTGCTTGTCACACCCTTGTGTGGTTCTGGCTGCCATAGTAGTCCAGTCGTAATTAGGACTGGTCACAGAGCACTAGAAAGGCTCTAGTGAACCCCCTGATTTCCAGATAGACTTCTTCCTACCCTATGTAATGGTAGCTCTGCCCTTCTCCATACCCAGCATCCAGTACCCTGGCCAGCCTGGAAACTCTGCTCTGCCTGCTGGTCTTACGGCATGAGGAACACAAGTGACAGGGGCCCACCATGACTTTGGTGTTCCACAGTGGAAGCCTTCCCTACCCCTTGAGCCAGGATCTCTAGATTTGCCAAACCTAAACTTATGGAGCTGATGAGAACAGAGTCTGACCTGGCTTGCTGGAGGATAGTGAGAGGGGCCACCCCTACTTCCACCCCTTGCTTTCTGGATCTGTGCAACAGTTGGACACCCAGTACCATCTCTCGTCTGTCAGTTCATCTTGAAGGACAATATCCCAACCCTGTGAGGTACATCACCAAGCCAGCATTTAATCCGTGCCTTTAAGAGGCTTTTTCAGTGTTTTATGAGGTTTCCACCTCCTGAATGATGTTGAATATTATATGCCAGTGGATCCAGAGTCACCTGCTTCTTTGTACCTGCTTCTGCTTGCTCAGTTTGGAGTTGATGTTATGTGGAATCCAATATGGGTAAATCTCTGATACTGGTGCAGGCCAAGGTATTCCATGGGCAAAGACAAACCCACACCCAGAGTATGAGTGATCCCAGTAGAGACAAATCACTGCCATTTCCAGGTGAAAGGATTCTCATGTAAGCAAATTACCACCAAGTGGCTGGTTGACAGCCTAAAGCATGGTGCATTGTAGAGGCCTCGTTGACTTCTGCTCATAGTGGGCTAGGTGTTTAGTAGTGGTCATGGCTGGATCAGCCCACCTGTTGGGCTCAGGCACAGCCTTCATCTCAGCCATCATGGTCACTCCATTCATGGATCTACTATGTGAACACTGGGGCTGGTGAGGATAGAGGCTGGCTGTCATCTGTTGGGTAAACCATCTCAAGGCCTGGTTTTTAGTGCCCCTACAGCTGTGGATGCTCTGTGGTGGACACTGATGTGTAATACAAGGACCTGCATGTCACATCCATTCCCTAGGCCCATCTGGATGCCTTTCCCCAACCTTTGTTCCCTCCGGAGCCCTGGCCAAGCTTTAGCTCTTGCCTAAGGTCCTGTAATCCATACCACAGGCCACTTCTTTCTCCATCCGTGCCACGGCTGACCGGGTTCACCACCTAGATCTCTGCCTCACCACTGTCTTCCAGCTCGTCTCTGTGTGGCGTTCCGGTGGCACCAATGTATTGAGCCAACTGCTTCATGTAACAGGCTTGAGTTTTTCCTCCTGGCTTTAGTGATCATCCCATGATATGTTGGGGTAGGAGTGAGCTAAGGAAGACAGGGGCAGCAAAGGTGCAAGGCCTGGGGCACTGGGCCACCTGTCATGAGTCTGTGCCCTCTAGATGTGCTTGGGTTTGGCCCTGGATGTCGCACTTCCATCATAACACTGGATTGTTGGCAGGCCTGCAACACACACTCATAAAGAGAAGCATTGGTGCCATAGACACAGTTGTCTCCTGGTCAGACCCGGTGTCCACCAGGGCCCAGCAGCCAGGAGTGGCCCCTCTCATTGGTGATGTCTTCAGCAGATGACATGCCCTTGCTCCAGAATCCTAGGTGTTTGCACTGACTTTTCTATGCCGGCTTTCCAGGGACTCCACACAGTGTCTTTATCTCCCACAGATACCCCAGCACTGTGGAATCTGTTGCATCTTATGGCCCACGTTATAGGGCTCCTGGTACTGTAGCATGGATCTACTAGAGAGCCCTCTCCTGCTCTGAATCCTCTCAAACCTAGCAGCTTTGTGTCATCTGATAAATGGGTCAGAGCAGTATTTCTTCAGTGGTGTATGCCATCTCCAAAACTCAAGGAAGCCTACCAGGAGTAGGAAGTGTGAGGTGTGATAACTAATTTGTCTTGCCTCATACCACTGGTTGTAATAGTCTTATGCATTAGGTTTCTACCTAAAATATGAGGAAAGAACATTCTAATCCTAAATAAATTCTTCCAGTGAATAGAAAAAGAGTGTACATTCCCTAACTATTTATATGAGACTAGTACAATCTGTACCCCAAAATTATTTAAAAGATAGAGTATAATAAAGGAAGTCATATTCCATGCTCACTCATTAACGTAGATGTAAAATGCATCAGAAAGTCTAATTTACATTAACAGATCAAAGAACACTATTAATGTGATCCTGTCATGGGTGCAGAGAAGACATTCAATAAAACTAAAATTGTATTCATGATAGAAATTATTAACAATCTAGGAATTATTGACTTGATGACGAGAATATACCAAAAATCCTGTGCTAACATCATATAATGGCGAAATTTGGAAAGAATTCCCTTTAAAATTAGAAAAGGACAATACCTATAAGCACATTGAACTTCAGGGCCTGGTCGGTTCAATAAATTGAATGTCAGCTCCATGAAGACAGAGGTTTTTGTCCGGTTCACTGCCATATTCCAGTGCTTGGAATAATGCCTGACACTTCAGGTATTCAGTAGACACTTGTTGAATGAATAAGACAAGAAAAATAAAACACCTAAGTATTAGAACAGAAGTAGGCAAAGCTGCCATTATTCATAGATAACATTATTATCTGTAGATGAAATCTGGAATAATCTCAAGCTGCTAGGAGTGTTTAGCACAGTTGCTGAGTGGAGTACCTGAGTGAGTAGTTGACTGCATGTCATAACAGCATCAGCAGTCCTGGCTGTAACCCTAATAACATCCACACACAGGATCTTTATGTGGAAGAGTGCTAAACCTCAGGGAAAGATAGTAAAGGAGACTTAAATAGATGGTGTCAGATAGCACATAAAAACAATAAGTAGTGTCAATTTCAGAGATGGTTTTGCCCAAATTGATCTGTAGGTTCAATGTAATTTCAGTAAGTGAATTTGTTTTTGTTTTGTCTGTTATGGAAATTGGCAAGTTGCTTCTAAAACTCATCAGAAAGAGCAAAGGCCCCTTAAATACTCAAGATACTTAAGAAGGAGAAAGTGCTGCTGGGGCAGTGGGGGTGGGGAGGTACTGTTCTTGTTGATGGTAAGACTTATTATAAAGCTAGAACATTAAGACTGTGGTGCTGGCTTGGGGATAGTAAATGAGCCAATGGACAGAATCAAGAGCCTAGAATCAAAATCACTCGTATATGGAAACATGATGCATGACTGTGCTACTTAGTGGGGAGACAATTCAACAATTGATGTGGGTATAATGATGATCAATATAGGGAAAGACAGAAATTGGATCTTCACACCATTCACAAAAAAAATCGATTTCAAATGGATGAAAATACTTAAATGCAAGAGGAAAAAAATTTAAAACTCTTAGAAGAAAATACAGGAGATTATCTTTAAGACCTTGGGATAGGGACTGATTGCTTAAGCAAACTGTAGGAAGCACCATCCATAACTGAAAAAAAATTCTATAAAATAAAGAGTTTCTGTTTATCAAAAGAAGAAAGGGCAGTCCATGAAGAGGGAGGGGATATTTGCATCACATTCCTTTGTTTATCCATTATAAATATTTATTCACTGCCTATCATGTGCTAAGCAGTATTCTAAGTGCTGGGACAAAAGTTGAAAATCTCTGCTCTTCTGGAGTTTCATTCCAGTGAGAGAGACACAGTGTTACACAATGAGAGGCA